AAAAAAAAAATCAGTGTGTGGGTGACATTTGTTACTTTTGATTATGATTGATCAATACTAATATTTATTATTAACATCAATTATTATTAGCTGAGGTTTGTGGAAAACCCGGTATGTTGTATGAAACATATCTTGTATTAATATCTATGTATTATTAAAAATATTGTGTTTTCCACCCAAAAACATACCCTCAAGATATTTAAAAGAATATTGGGAACCAAAAAATTTTTTTGAAGCCCTTATTGACTTCCACTATATGTGCAAAAAACACACTGAGACGTGTCTCAAAATATCTTCTTTTTTGTTCGACAAAAGTCATGCAGTTTTGGAATGACATGAGGGTAATTAAATGATAGTATTTTAATTTGTGGTTGAACTCCTTTAATTCAAATTCGGTCTGTAACAGATCGCAGCGGTGGACGAGGACGGTCGAGAGGACAAGGCCACCATCACATGCGAGACCTCGCCACCTCCCACACCTCGCCAAGTCCGCATGACCCACACGCTACCTGCTTCTTCGCACAATGACGCACGGTGAGACAGCAGCCAGACATGTGCTGTGTACAAACATAACCTGACTTTCCCACTGTTAATCTGTTTGTCTGTCTCCAGCCTGACGACTACATTAGAGACAGAGGCCAGTGCTCTGAGCAGTGTAGCCAGCAGTCAGGACTCCCTCCACAAACAGCCAAAGAAGAAGGGCATCAAGTCCTCCATTGGACGACTGTTTGGGAAGAAAGAGAAGGCCAGACTGGGGCAGCTGGGGAAAGAGATTATGGGACCAGGACTTGGTGAGAAATTTGGTAGACATAGAGACACATGAGCTTTTAAAGGGAGGATCCGAGTTAAGATTTGTATATATCACAGAGAAAACAGTCCTTTTCAATATGGATTAATCTGATTAAAACACTGATCTAGAGTTGAACGTCAATATAATTATTACTCTTAACATTATCAGATGATGGGTTAATGGATCTTCTCCATCAGTAGGGAATGTATCCGATCCTGAGCTTCTGGGTCAGGATATCGCGGTGGGCAAACTGGGAACACAGGCGGAGAAAGATCGCAGGCTTAAAAAGAAGTAA